AGTGACATTAAAACACATTTTAGGCTTATTAATAAGAAATGTGCATTGTGCACAAGTAATCCTCCAAATAAAGTTTCATTAAAATTTGTATATCACTAGGTCTCGAGTTATCTGTCAGTAAATATTTTAATAGATTTGAACTATACTTAGTATGAAATAAATGTATTTTAAATATATTACTTTTTTACTAGGGTATATAGACATATTTATATTAAAAAAAACTAATGGTAATAAAATTGACCAAAAAAATTCACAAAAACTGCTAAAACAGAAAATATAAAAATAAAAACAAATTAATAATATTAATACAAAACGTCTATAGTTTTTATTAATGTTTATTTCGTTTCATTTTGCGTAATTTTATTTGATTGTATTAGTAATAGTTTATTTAGTACATCAAGTTAAACTAAATAAAAATGAGAAATGTTGCTTTGACACCAAACTGAAATTAATTTTATTTCAGTTAACATTTATTTTATGAAATAGTAATGAAACAGTTTTGTAATGGTTTTGGTTTTAGTTTAATGATAATAACTCTGATCCCAAGCAATACTATGTGTTTGGCTGTATTATATAAATTTGCTTCATCCACTCTTACTAAACAACAATAATTCCCTAAATATTAGGGCTGGGTTTTGACACAAATTTCATGATTCGATTCGATTCTCATTCACAAGCTTGCGATTCGAATTCAATATCGATTCAATATCGATTATTTTGGATATATATCAGGTACAGTACATGCCAAAATTTCTCAAGGAAAAAAAATCTCTCAACTAATGCTGTAAAATATACATGAGAGTCAGTTGGTACTGCATTACTGTAATATTGAAGGTTAAAGCTGACTGATTTGCAGGCTACACAACTGCTAAAACTACACTTAATGAAGATTTTAAAATAATAAAGTTACAATTATATAATGATATTTCTACTTCAATTCGTTTTTTTTTTTTATAGGCTATAAACATTTAAATGGTGGCTGTCATAAAACTTGATGGATTTATTCAAACATAAATTAAACATTGAAGAACAGTAAAAATTATAATGAATATGTTATATGGTGCATATATTTAGCAAAATGCCCCTCTCTACAGTTTATTTTTCTATGTAAAGTTGTACTCTTTCTTTTAACTTACCTTCGGATGTTTAGTCATGTTTATTTTGTGCTATAACTAGTAATAAAGCGGAGGAGATGATCAGTTCACTGAGGCGCTACAGCGATCTGTAACTCCACATTAAACAGCGCCAAAATGTCATTAATTGTTTGAATACTACAATACAATGGACAGAATTTGAAATCTGAGACTTTGCTTCATATTAAAAGTACCAAAGCACAATGCTTATTGCGATATATTGGGTGGAAAGTGCCCTTCAATGTTGCATCCATTAACAGAAAACAGGCTAGAATAATCGATTCTTGGGATTTAAGAATCGATATCGTTCTGTAAAAATGAGAATCGATTAAAATTGAGATATCGATATTTTTTACCCAGCCCTACTAAATATCACATCTTTTCCGACTCCCCAGGCAAGCCTCAGAGGATGAACGGGAAGGTCAATGGCAGGATCTACGTTGGTGATTCTCCGTCTCCTGTGGAGTTTTCTAACAATGATCTGCACTCGTATGTGGTGACTAACGACGGCCGGGCGTATATCGCCATCAGCAGCATCCCATCCAGCGTCGGCCCGTCTCTGCAGCCCCTGCTGGCTCTGGGCGAAACCATCGGCTGGGCCTTTGCTCTGGAGCAGCCCGACTACCAGAACGGCTTCAGCATCATCGGTGAGACCTGATCAGTAACTATTTATAATTATCTATTTTAAAGACATTTTTGGCTTATGTTTATACAGTTACCTCTTTGTCTCTTAAAAAAAGAATTTCCAACCATGATGCAATATTGTCATAAAATGAGTTTTGCTTCCAGCTACTGCTTTGTCATTATTATTATTATTATAATATTAACTTTATATTAACATTAATCATTAATGATTTTTTATATGTAATAATATTTGTTATATTATTGATTTGTTATTGTTGTTGTTGTTAATAATAATAACTTAATTTAACAATATTACTAACATTATTACCATTAATCATTTTAATTATTATTAGGTTAATATTATTAACTTAATATTAAGTATTAACGTAATATTAACAATATTATTAATATTGTTACCATTAATCATTTTAATAATTAATAATATTCATGAAATTGTTTCTTCTTCTTCTTCTTCTTAGGTTAATAATATTAGCTAAATATTAACAATATTAATAATTTATAATACTTCTTATTTTTTACTATTATTATTATTGTTGTTGTTAGGTTAATAATATTATTTTATATTTATATTCATAATATTATTGTAATTATTAATACTAATTAATAATATTCATGAAGTTATTATTATTTATTATTTTTGTTAGGTTAACATACATTTGATTTCCAGCCATGGTACTTACAGTATATCATTATGAAATCTCAAAACCTGCCTTCAGCTACTTGTTTGCCTGTCAAAGCATAAAATTCATTAATTAAATGTATTAATATTTGAGCCCTATTAATATGATGTTCAAAACATTTATTAATATTTATTACTGTTAGAGATTGTTTAAATAGTAATATTGCTTTGGCAATCACCAACACGTGAGACACGTTTGTGTAACCTTTAAATAACGTTATAAGCGCGACAAGAAAACTGGACATTTCAACATTCTTCGAAAATAAAAAAAACGTTCAAGTAACATTTTATTTTGGGTGAAAATAAAGTTAGAACGTTGTAAAGAATGTTTTAAGAACATTTAAATAACGTTATAATGACGACAAGAAATCTGGACATGTTTCCATCCAAAGATGCGAATTTAACTTATGCGCAAAACTGGAATATCGCATAAAACATTTGCGAATAAAGCACCGTTTCCATCCAACGATTCAAAGAGAACAAAATCGTCACTTCCTGGTAAACTGCCACTAAATATCTTTAAGAAAATTAGGAGAAGCCACTGAATATAATAATTTACTTTCATATATAATAAATTACTTGCTTCACTTGATGCTAGTAATTTTAATAATTTTCGAACCATCTCAAATCTTCCTTTTATTACCAAAGCACTGGAGAAAACGGTGTTTATTCAGCTACAGTCTTTCCTTAGTGCAAATCAGATTTTTGAAACTTTCCAGTCTGGTTTTAAGCCTCTGCATAGCACAGAGTCTGCTTTATTACGGGTCTTTAATAATACTTTGTTAGCGACTGACTCTGGTGACTCTGTTATCCTAATTCTGTTAGACTTAACCTCTGCTTTTGATACAGTTGATCATAAAATTCTTCTATCTCGACTAGAATATTTTGTGGGCATCCAGGGAACTGTTCTTAGCTGGTTCAAATCATATTTAACAAATAGAAGTTTCTCTGTCAGATTGGGTAATTTTTCTTCGTCGCCTGCTAAACTTTCCTGTGGAGTGCCACAGGGCTCTATTCTCGCACCCATTTTTTCTTTGTATTTACTTCCTTTGGGCTCTATTTTCAGAAAGCATAGTGTATCATTTCACTGCTATGTTGATGATACCCAAATTTATTTACCTCTGAAACAAAATAAACATGCTGCTCTGGAATCTCTTTTTGCATGCCTTGATGAAGTGAAAATGTGGTTCTCTCAAAATTTCTTATTTCTGAATGAATCAAAAAGTCGTGGTTATAGTCTTTGGCCCCAGTTAAAAAAACAAACTTGAAACTTGTGCCTCAGAGTGAGCAGACGTAACACAATAAATGCTGTCCTTGCTTTTAGAGGTGGATGCCTGCTGTTTGGGAACGCAGTCGTGTAAGACAATAATTATACAGAAATACTTTGACGACAGACTTTCCTCAGGCATTTCAGAACGACCAAAACAACATATAGATGCTGTGAACGAGATCGGTCCGCTGCTAGTCAAATTATCCCGTCTCATAGCGCAAAGTCACATGACTTTTTCAATGCGCATGGTGGAATTAAAAAAAAAATTTGGTGGAAAAAGTTTATCCTACTCAATTGTGCGCATACGTTTTTTATGCACATTTTTAGAATTTATGCGCATCTTGGCGTTTCCATCCAGCGTTTTTTATGTGATATTCCAAAATGCGCATAAAAATAGGTGGATGGAAACATAGCTAATGTTTTAGAAACAGTTCAAAACAATGTTCCCACAGGGTTTTTCTAACCTAACTTTGTGGCCTGGGTCCCGGTCTCCGCAGGAGGGGTTTTCACGCGACAGGCCGAGGTCGTCTTCCAGCCCGGGAACGAGCGGCTAAGCATCAGGCAGGAGTTCGGCGGCATCGATGAACACGATCATCTGCTGATCAGCACCGAACTGGACGGCAGGATTCCAGAGGTGCCTCGAGGAGCCATGGTCCAGATCGAGCCCTACAGCGAGATTTACCAGCACTCCAGCAACCGTGAGTCAACTTCTCAGATTCATGAGACCTGACAGTCAGAAATATCATCATCTCAAGCTCGTAAATGACCGAGCAAAGTCGTTTTTTCCAGTAACAAACTCTGGATTCTCTATGACACCTGGGTTGTGACATTCGAAGCAACTCTGTAGTCAATTAAGTGAATGTAATTCTGTTATTTTTAAGGAATATTGGAATATGTTACGAAATGAAATTAGATTAACACAAGATTTAAGTTATTTTATAGTAATGTGAACAGTTGTTTTTAAAAGAATCCAGAATTGTACTCATGTTTTAGTAATTTACACCTAATTAGACATGCGCTTTCAATTTTAAACAGGCATTTAATTTAATTTAATTTTATTTAATTTAATTTAATTTTATTTTATTTTATCATTGATTTTATTATTATTATTATTATTATGGTTAAAGTTTTAATTGTGATCGTACATCAATTAAGTGCTGTAATTCAGTCATTTTTAAGGTGTTCTATAGCTAATGTAAAGCTAATAACTCAACCTTTGGGGTTTGCTTTGTGTAAATGTATAAAAATGACAGCATTCTAAAAATGAGACGCTCAAGTTAAAAGAAGTTAAAATTTAAAAAAGATTCTGAAATGTATATATATATATTCCTATGTTCACTTGAAAAAACCTTTTAATCTAAAGCTGAAACATATGAACACATGAGCTTGTGCGGTTTAATGGCACAAACATTTATAACCTCTAGCCCCTCTTTGAGTATTGCAGTTTGTTACCCATGCACGTTAAGTATGTTGCATTTGCCTTCATGTCTATAGCATGCTGTCTATATCAATCCTCAGTCTTCTCTGCGATGTTTACAGTGATCACGTCCTCGTCACGGCGGGATTACACCGTTAGCATGCCGGACGGTAGCGTTCGCACACACAGCTACCTGTGGACACAGAGCATCAAGTTCCAGAGCTGCCCTCACGAGGAGGTCCTGAGCGCTGTGCCGGCGAGCCAACAGCTCAGCGTCGACCAGATCTTCGTCATGTACGACTCCAGCAACCAGCTGATCCGCTTCGCCATGAGCAACAAGATCGGCTCCATCCACAGTAAGAAAACCTAGAACTACAGCAGACACGTGAACATTCACCGCTTAGTGCTAAAACACACGACACAGTCACTAAACACTGGGTTCTGTCATATATATGTGTTGGATAATGACTCATACACTACTGTTAAAAGTTTGGGGTCGGTAAGATTTCCTAATGTTTTTGAAAGAAGTCTCTTCTGCTCACCAAGGCTGCATTTATTTGATCAAAATGCTGAAAAAAATGTGAAATATTATTATAATTTAAAATAACTGTTTTCTATGTGAATATATGTTAAAGTGTAATTTATTCCTGTGATGCAAAGCTGGATTTTCAGCATCATTACTCCAGTCTTCAGTGTCACACCATTATTTATTTATTTTAATTGCACATTTTCATGATTTTATTATTTTTTAGTAAGTATTTTATTATTTTAAAATAATTCACTGTAATTCTATATTTTATTGGTTTTTATTTAGCTATTATTTAAAGGGGTCATATGATGCGATTTCAAGTTTTCCTTTCTCTTTGCAGTTTTACAAGCTGATTGTGCATAGATAAGATCCCTGAAGTTGCAAAGACTAAAGTCTCAAAACCAAAGAGATATTCTTTATCAAAGTTAAGACTCTGCCACGCCCCCCTAAAATGGCTCGTTCTAACACGCCCCCACATATCTACCTCACTATGTGAAAATATTTGCATAATGCCGCCCAAATGTGCACGAAAAGAAAGAAGGCGTGGTTTCAGTAAACGCAGTTAGTGTTGAAGCAGCCATGTCAAGGAGACGCTGTGTGTTTCTAGGCGAAAGCAAATCTTTAAAAAAGCATCATATGACCCCTTTAAATTCTAAATTATTTTTAATTTTACAAATTTATAGTTTTATTATTTTTTAATAAGCATTTTATTTTTATTGTTATTACTTTAAAATAATTTATTTTAACTGGACATTGTATGGGTTTTTATTTAGCTATTATTTAAATTCAAAATTATTTTTAATTTTACAAATTTATAGTTTTTTAGTAAGCATTTTATTTTGTCTATTATTTTAAAATTATTTATTTAAATGTTAAATTATTTAAATGTTTTTTTTTATGATTTTGATTAATTATCTTCCTTCAGAAATCATTCTAATATGCTGATTTGCTGCTCAAGAAACATTTCTGATTATTATCAATGTTGAAAACAGTTGTGCTGCACAATATTTTTGTGGAAACTGTGATGCATTTTAGTTTTAAGGATTCACAGATGAATAGAAAGTTAAAAAGAGCAGCGTTTATTTGAAATAGAAATCTTTTGTTACATTATAAACATCTTTACTGTGGCCTTTGATCAATTTAATACATCCTTGATGAATAAAAGCATTCATTTCTTTAAAAAGAAATCTTACTGATCCCAAAAATTGAACTATGACTGTAAAATTGTACTAACTCTGCTGGTTAAGTTCATGTATGGGATCTCCGTAGAAACTTTAACTCAGTCTCCCGCTGATGTTTATGACTTGTGTGTTCTGGGTCAAAGGTGGTGCGAGTGTTTGTGCTGGTTTCTGTAAGCCGATCTGAGTTAAAACCGCAGCTGAAGAAGAGCGCTAACATCTGTGCAGTTCAAACACACGCCGTCTCTCGTTCAGGACAAACGTCCGTCAGCAGGAGCCGTAACCAGCGTGTTGGTGGTTATTAAGATCAGCATCTCGCTGAGTTTTAAAGGGGTCATAGGATGCTACATGCACTTTTACAAGTAGTTTGAACTGAAATGTGTGTTGGCAGTGTGTGTACAACCACACTATAATGATAAAAATCCACCCAGTTTTTTTTTAATCTACTCAAATCTTTACCCCTTTCTCAAATTGAGCCGATCTCAGATGCCTGTCTGTGTGACGTCACAGCCCTAATTTATAAATATGATATGTGCTCCTGGAGCACAAAAGCAGTGTTAAGTCGCTGGGGTATATTTGTAGCAATAGCCAACAATACATTGTATGGGTCAAAATTATTGATTTTTCTTTGTAACAATATCCACTACAGTTCAAAATCTGAGGTCAGTTCATTTTATTTTCTTTCTTTTTTATTTTTAAAGAAATTAATAGTTTTATTCAGCAAGGATGTGTTAAAGTGATAAAAAAAAGTGATAGTAAAGACTTACATTGTTAGAAAAAAATTATTCTATTTCAAACAAATGTTGTTCTTTCTAACGTTTTATTCATTAAAGAATCCTGAAAAAAAGTATCACAGGTTCCAAAAAAAAATATTAGGGAGCACGGCTGTTCACAACAATAAATAAATCATAAATCGGCATATTAGAATGATTTCTGAAGATCATGTGACACTGAAGACTGGAGTAATGATGCTGAAAATACAGCTTTGATCACAGAAATAAATTACATTTTAAAGTATATTAAAATAGAAAATCATTAAGTTAAATTGTAATAATATTTCACAATATTACTGTTTTTTCTGTATTTTTGATCACATAAATGCAGCCTTGATGAGCATAAGTGACATCTTTAAAAAACATAAAAAATCATCAAACTTTTGAATAGCAGTGTAGCATATATATTTAACTTTACATCTTTGTATCTCTTTACGATGTACTGTATGTAGGCAAAATTGTATATATTATAGCAGTTGTAGGTTATAATTAATAATTTCTTATGTGGCGATATTGAGGATTATGAAGCCAGTGAGGTTTAAATGATGCATGTAGTAAATGACAGGGTTAAAAAAGGAAGTAGTATTTTTGTGGCTTCTTTGATTGGTCAGTTTTATGGATAAATGAAAGAGTGTTTTATGATTCAGAAGCGAGTAAAAGATGATGCTGAAAAGATGAAAAGATGGATTTATGCTATCCAAAAGATTGGATATAATGCTACTTTGGCTTGGAATAATCTACAAAGCATTCTAAAGCTGACAGTGTTTCCATCATTACATGAATTTAAGCTACTTTTAACAAGCTGTGTGTTTTATCCTTTGGTGAATTGTTGTTGTGATCTTTGATTTGTGTTGTGATGTGAACTTGTATATACTATGTTATTTGTTGCTGCTTTCTTGGCCAGGTCACTCTTGCAAAAGACCTGGAGATTTTAACCTGGTTAAATAAAGAAATGCTGCGACTCTCAGCTTTTGATGTGGTTTTATATTTATGTGCGTGGTGTGTTTTAGGCGGGATCCCGGAGCAGAATCCCTGTTTCACCGGGAGACACGGATGCGACACTAACGCCGTCTGTCGTCCCGCTCAGGGAAAAGAGTTCAGCTGCGAATGCGCCGCTGGATTCATTGGCGACGGACGGGTTTGTTACGGTAACGATCCTCGTTCACAGATTGTCAGTGTTGGGAAGGTTACTTTGGAAATGTAACAGGTTACAGATTACAAGTTACTGTAATTAAGGGGAGACACTGCAGGCAAAAGCACTGTTTTTGTCAATTTTGAGATTTTGTGCTTTTTGGCATTTCATAAAGTGTTTTTTCAGACTAGTGGAAAGAGAACATCCAAAAGACACTGTTTTATAGCACTTTATCTATTTGTGTCAATAGATTTCAATTGCAATACATATTTTTAAAGGCCGTTTTCTCAAAATGAGTTTTTTCTCCCACACCGAGCCATAAATCACCACTTCAGTAGCACTTTAGTACAGTAGTACTAAATAAAAGCTTATTTATTCAACTTTCAGATGATGCATAAATCTAAATTTCGAAAAATTGACACTTGAAGGCACAATATGTAAGATTTTTTTATTAAAATATCCAAAAACCACTAGAACAGTGTTATATATTTAGCTGACTTGTGTACTTACATTATCCCAAATGTTTCGAAGAATGTTTAAATCCAGAGAAATAAGCAATTTTAACTAGTGACACGGACCGTGTCTATAGTGTCATTGTGTCGCCTGCCAATGACGTCATAACCCCTCGATTTCCGGTTTTGTTTTGTAGAAAACATGGAAACACCAAAGACGCTTTAATATGTTGTGCGTATTAATAGACCGGTGACGACCGCACAGAGTAGCATTATAACAGAACTTTCAAATGTATCTAGTATGATAAAACAGCGCTGCTTTTGCAATACATATTTTTAAAGGCCGTTTTCTCAAAATGAGTTTTTTCTCCCACACCGAGCCATAAATCACCACTTCAGTAGCACTTTAGTACAGTAGTACTAAATAAAAGCTTATTTATTCAACTTTCAGATGATGCATAAATCTAAATTTCGAAAAATTGACACTTGAAGGCACAATATGTAAGATTTTTTTATTAAAATATCCAAAAACCACTAGAACAGTGTCTACGCCTTTGTCTCTTTGTTTGTTTTGATTACACGCCCTCTAGTGGTGAAAATTACATATTGTGCCTTTAAGACTGGTTTTGTGGTCCATGGTCATATATATAATAATTATACACAGTACACACACATATATTATGTAAACAAAAACGTTTATTTTGGATGCGATTAATCGCGATTAATCGTTTGACAGCACTAAAAGAAAGAAATATATTACAAACACAGACTCTTTCATGACTCAGAAAACGATAAAAATGTGTCCTCATCTTGTGCATTAGAAGTAGAAGTGGACACTGCATTTATAACTGCATGAGAGGATGATATATGAGCTGTAAGTTTCCCGCTGACATGTTGCAAGCTTTATTTAACATCACAACTGACAACATATGGAATACTCGCAGTCAGATACGCAAATGATTATATTTTGACGTCACTAAAGGGAAATAACCTGATTTATTAATAAAGTCATGTAAACGCAGCTTACTTGCGTTGTCAGGTTACTGATGTGCATGTAAACGGGAAAAAATTGTTATTTTAATAAGCTGATTTTTGTGAGTTATCAGCTCACTGGTGTGCATGTAAACGTGCTCAGTGTTTGTTCAAACATCTGCGTTGAGTTACTGAAGAGCTCGTTCATCTCAGCGCTGATACATCGAGTTGTTCTCTGGTTGTAGAAGTTATATTATAATTTAATTTGACTTCAAAGCACCTCCCGGTTCACAGACGGGTCGATGATCCAATGCAGACTCGTGACTGTATATACAGTGTTTGATTCATGGGATGTTTCCTCTCTTTGGAATTTAGTGTAAAGAAAACACTTTTTTTACCTTCTGGACTTTCTGCATGATTTGGGCCACAATTTGTCCCCCTTTTTTAGAAGATCTGGGTCTTTTTATTGTTAAGAACTGCTTTTCATGTCGAAACAGACACCAGCGCATATGCACAGAAACAGACGTTAATTATTGCTGCTTTTTCTCTTAAATAATTTATCTCAAAGACCCTGAATGATGAAATTAACATTTATTTATTTATTTTATTATTATTATTATTATTATTATTATTATTATTATTATTATTATTATTATTATTATTATTATTATTATTATTATTATTATTATTATTATTATTATTATTATTATTATTATTATTATTATTATTATTATTATTATTATTTTAGTTAAAGTTTTGGCAATTAAGTTTTGTTTGTTTTTGTCATTATTATTATTTTAAAATTGTTTATATAGTTTTTATTATTTTTTATTTATTAGTATTTAATTTTTGCTTTCACTTTATTTTTAGTTGAAGTTGTTAAAATTTTGTTAATTTTTTTAAATGTCTATATGGTTCATCTTTATTTAATTATTTATTTAAACTTGTCTAAATAGTTTTTATTATTTTTTATTTATTAGTATTTAATTTTTGTATTTTCTGTTTTCACTTTGATTTTAGTTAAAGTTGTAGTAATTTTGTTGTGCTTTTTGTCATTTTTTTATTATTTTTAAATATGTCTAGTATTATTATTAGTAGTAGAAGTATTAGTATTATTTATTAATAGGTCTAAAAAAACAGAATTATTACAATGAAATAAAAATTCAGTCTTTAAAAAATTAAACTAAATATTTATTTATTTGTTTGTTTATTTATTTATTCACTCATTTCTTTTTTTCCTTCTTTCCTTCTTTCTTTCTTTCTTTCTTTCTTTCTTTCTATCACATTTTCAAACTAATCCAAAACCTAAACAAGCAATTGAAACAAAATATAAGTAATGAAAACAACATTAAAATAGTTTATAATAAAACTGTAAAATGTTAGAATGGATGTAAACAATAAAGTCAAATAAAATAAAAATAAAGAATATGAAAAAATAAATAATGTATGCTATAAATTGTGAAGTATTTGTACATCATAGTAGTGTTTCTTGTACTGCCTTTATGTTTTTTGCAGATTTCAGCATTGGCCTCCGTCCCTGAGTATTTCCATTAACTCTTTCCGCGCCAACGTTTTTGATGATTTTCACTCAAATTTCATGGCCCCCAGAATATTTTGTTGTATGAATATCTGAACATGCAATACATCAAGCTAAACATAAAAAATCAGTTTTATTGTAGCTTCAAGCAATCATTTTTATCAACACTTGAGTGTTGGTAGGTTTCATTAAAAAAGCAACATTTTGAGCAAAATCGCATTTTTATCAAGTACTACATCTGGATCATATTCAGTACTATTATCAAAGCAAAGATGCAGTAGATGGCTTCCGTCAGCACTCCCAAAGCTTGCACAGGCCTTTATCACTTTCTGGATTGACATTTCACTCGGTAGCATTTGGCAGTTTTCATTTATATGCGGTTAGTGTTGATGATCGAATTATTTTTCATATGCATATGCTTACATATGAGATCGCTCGTTTCTGTGTCTTCCTGGCCTGTGTTTTTGATCGAGTGATTATGGAGACTTAATTCAGGAGATGCGTAATAGCGCCCCCTAACGTATAACAACCCGGAAAATTCCGTGTTTGGCGGGGAAAGAGTTAATAAAAAAACTTCAAAATAAAAGCCTATATTGACCTGCTGTCTGTGTTAGTATATGAATTTTTGTCTTTGTTTCTCAGATGTTGATGAGTGTTCAGAAAGCCCTCGGATCTGCGGTCCGTACAGCATCTGCAACAACCAGCCGGGATCTTTCCGCTGTGAATGTCTGGATGGTTTTCAGTTCGCCGGCGACGGACGGACGTGTGTCGGTAAGAGCCTGTGTTTTAGAGACACGCACACGTTCGACCGAACCGCTTCTGAACAGGGTTTGAGTTTGCTGTGATTTAGGGCTGTCAAAAAAATTTCGAATTTCGAATATTCGTCGATTTAAAATAAAAATCCACATTCGATTTAAAATAAAAGTTAAAAAATGTGTTTGTCTGTGTGTGTGTGTGTGTCTGTGTGTGTGTATCTGTGTGTGTGCGTGTGTGTGTGTGTGTGTGTGTGTCTGTGTGTGCGCGTTTTTGTGACAAATGAGGACATACATTTGTATAATGACAAGGGTATGATATAGGTATTACAAGGAGAAGGTGACTTTTCTGGACATTACCCCATGTCCCCACTTTTCAAAACGCATATAAATCACACAGAGGG